ATTTGGTTTGTAAGTAATATATACATGTATATACTTTATAGATTAGATCACATCTCCATATACAGCGCATCTTGATCTGCCATTTGTGGATAGATGGACGTGTGCAATTATTTCTGTGACTTGAAAAGATTTGTTCTGAAAAACAGTCTGAAAATATTAATTATTGCCTATTCAATGGTAAATGATGCTTCGCTTGTTGAAGTTGAAACCTTCAGTGCTTGGTTTCTCTACTCTTCTCTGTTCCACTGTAAAATAAATAAACATTGAAGATAGCTCCTTGAGTTTATTGCTTGTAAGCTCTAGTGAGTGAACACGTGATCTGGTTTTAAAGGGACTTTTAACACACTGTGAAATAGCTTTTTAATTCAATGTTATATTGGCACATGTGGCTTACAAATAAATAAAGGGGTGAACATCAGTTACTTAAATGAATAGGTTACAATGCAGGGGCAAAATGCACTCAACATTTGATGTAGAATTGTCCCTGGTGGATGATAAAGCTGCCAGTCTTTGCTCAAAGGAAGCCCTTGAATAAAGAAAGGATTGAACTCCCTACTTGAACTCTATGTCCGGTGGCTTCGACAGGTCATATCTAGGGGAAAGCTGTAACACTGAGGGGTTTAAACTAGAAATCTTGCAGAGGATATGCACACCAAATGAAAGGCATTGACTTTGTTTCCTGTCTGTCACCTCTTTGCATTACAATCATTTCTAAAAGGAACGTTAATTAACCGGGACTTTCCAGACAGTATACAAAAACAATGTATTGTTTTTGTTTTTTTCTGCTCATGACTGATCATAAGGTATTTTATTTACAGATATTTAAATATTAATAGATTATTCTGAGCATTATGTTCTATGTCTCTCTGTTGGTATCCCAATGTGTGTGTAATGTGAAATGCCTCAAATGAGGTTTGAAATTGTGGTACAGTATACCATAGACCAAGTGGAGGCATATGCAGTAAAGTGCAGTAACAGTGATAAAGGACAGAAAAGAATGGTAAAGCATGTAAAAATGACCTGTATCTTTGCCAAGGCAAACAACAGAGGCAAAGTGTAAATGTGGTACAGCTACAGTATCTGCATATTGTAAAAAATCAACTCTTTAAAGCTCTGCCGATTTCTCAGTGATTAGTTGCAAAGACACAGTCATGCCAAGGTCCAAAGCAACCCAGCCAGTGAGGAATCATACTCAGAATTAAGGAGGATCCTGAGCAGTTCTTTTCCCCTTGTATTTCAGGGCAATGAGCAGCTTTGAATTGGTTCCAGTAACATAAAGGTGCCTCATCTCTTCCAAAAGCAGTCTGAATGCAGCTGGGTTCAGGCAGTGTCACAGTCCAACCCACCCCTGGGGAGTTCCACATGCAAAGAGAGATAATTCCTGAACATGAATCCTCTTAAGGACCATGTGTTGATCAGCTGTTGTGTTCCTTCTGGTTGCTCTACCTAATACCTGTACGGCCTGCCCGTGTCATAGGAATTACTCCATACACTGCACGGGATTATGTCTATGGCATTCTGAATGTTGATTTCGCATGGCTTTAGAATAACAAAATCTGGACCTCCTGATATTGATGAAGATGAAAGAAGAAAAAAAGAATGCCATGTTGCAGCATACTTCACACAGTTTTTTTTTTAGTATTTTGCAGCATTTTACACAAGCCCTCTTTAATGCTTTAAATCTTTTGATTTGTTTGAAACATGTGTTTAATACTTATCACACAGGCACCCTCACACTTGTTTTCAATGTTTATTTTGAAATAAGATGAGGACTCTAAGTACTGAAGATACATTTAAGCTTAACACCTAGAAGCAATCTTTCACGCTTGAGCTTAGGTAATGCAGCTGAAATTAAAGTATTTTAAAATGCCTGTAAAAAAAGGGCATCCTGGCTGTTTTATTTTGAGGCAAGCAGGCAAAAGTGTCTCTAGAATACTTACTTGCCTT